TCTTTATCTAGACCTATTTATATCTAGCTGTATCAATCAAATCTAAATCTAACCTTATCTATCTATCTATCTATCTATCTATCTATCTATCTATCCATGTATTATTTATCTATCTATATATGGATTTCTCTCGTGTCAGGTACCTACCTATTTTGAGGTCGTCACTACTTAGGAGTGTATCCTTGAGCCACCTTTTGTCTCATAATAGGTAAAATTAGCCCTACCGTCTTCCCCGAATAGAACGTATGGTCTAGCCTGAAATTTGCCCCAACTACAGCTATAACTATGACGACCGTACGTTCTAATCGAGGGAGGACGGTAATGCCGATGACATCCACAGTCCACGTGCGGACGTACCGGAAGACTCTACTGTGAGTAGTTTCTTCTGTCGCCCGCCATCGCTATGTAGGGAGAAAGTGCGAAATTGCTACCTGCTGTGCTAGGTTCGGGTTCTTCGCTAAAATAAAATTCTCTCTTGTAGATTTGGCCACGCTCACACGAGTGCTTCACGGAGCAAATGTGACTGCAATCGCGGTCAGATACGGCGTCGAACGTCCTAGTGTGAATGTGTCTGAACTGTTTAACAACGGAGCTTGCCTCGGCGCTTATTCTGGCAGCGCTGTGTTATATGACGTCCAACTTCCGATAGGCCGTACTCACAGTAACACTGTTTGGGGCGAATCCGGCCCCAATTGCGGCCAGGTACGTTGTAGAAAGTCGTAGCTTGAGCAGTATGCCCTTACTTATTACTAACAGAGTTTTCCTGGCCCCCTACTATGCCAGCGTCGTAACGTCCAACTGGTGTTGCCATCCGGACCAGATTCAGCCATCAGAACGCACAAGCAACTGTGTAAACGGGCCTCGCTCCACTGCGCACCACATGCACAAAAGACAAAGTACGGCGGTGTATCTTCACATGTTCTATGGGAAGATTCATAAGCACGGCTACGGGCCTCGCTCCACTGCCCACCACATGCAGAAGAGACAAAATATGGCGGTGTATCTTGACATATTCTAGTGGAAGATTCATTCTCATTTTGCACATGTGGTGAGTAGTGGAGCGAGGCCCCTATGTTACGACTAAGCGGCTCATGCCATCACCATATTATGTCTCACTGCATCATACTGTGCGTGCTATACGGTAGGGGAACGTTGTATAACATACGTTCGTAGGATTACGTAGTCTTACATAAGTTTTACACAGTATTGCATAGTATTGCATAGTATTGCATAGTATTACGGTAGTGTTACATAAGCACTACGTAGGATTACATAGTATTACGTTGTATTACATGCATCACCATATTATGTCTTACTGCGTCATACTGTGCGTGCTACACGGTAGTGTAACGTTGTATAACATACGTACGTAGGATTACATAGTCTTACGTAGTCTTACATAGTCTTACATAGTCTTACATAGTCATACACAGTATTGCATAGTATTGCATAGTATTACGGTAGTGTTACATAAGCACTACGTAGGATTACGTAGGATTACGTTGTATTACATGCTATAGATATTACATGGTACCGCATAGCATTACAGATTGCACGGTTTCTTCTTCTTCTTTCGTGCTTTTTTTTCTTTTCTTTTCTTTTTCCAACAATCAAAGGCCCCCTTTTATTCTGGGGGCAGCAGTCCGGTTGCTTATCACCGGCAAGCATAGTTCCACAGCGTAGAAGGCATGGTTTCATAACATTAAACTTTTTTTTTTTTTTTTTTTTTTTTTTTTTTTTTTT